AGCCAGTTTAGAAACTGACCTATGATTATCTGATGCTAATACTAGGCCTGGTTGTGGCTTTTGTGATGTGAAATAAAGTTCTTTGCTTTGGAGCATTTTCCGTGCTGTCTAATCACCAAGCCATCATGATTAAATCACACGCTGCCACTCTGGACTCTCGGGTGAAAAAACTATGTCTAGTTCCTGCGAGGTGACTCACCGCCTTGTGTTCTCTTCCTTCTAACTGCCACAGCTCCCGAGATCAGAAATATTCTAATTTTCTACTGCTCTGTTATGGGACTGCGGTAGTTTTGACAGAGTGAGTCTCATCATAATTTAGGGTTCCCTCTGTTCTGCTGTCATATCAAAACTCCATTTTTGCTCTCTTTTTATTTTTTCTCCTTTTACAAGAATGGTCCAAAATTACTTGGTGTTAAACCTCATTACATTTACATACACAAAATATCGAAAAGTTTTCTTATCTAAAGTTCCATCTGAAATGGTATTAATAGAGATTAAGGGTGTTAATAGAGAGTTTGCCCTCCCTTTCTTGCCATAACAGCCTCTTCAGTGAAGGATTTCCACTAGATGTTGGAATATTATTATGAGGATTTGATTGCATTCAGCCACAAGAGCATTAGTGAGGTCAGGTACTGATGTTCAATATTAGTTCTGTATCACAAACAGCACTCTAACTCATCCAAAAGATACTGAATGTAGTTCCATCACTCCAGAGAAGGCAGTTCCACTGCACCACAGTCCGACAATGGGGGCTTTGTACCTTTCTAACCGACACTTATTACTGGGTGACCTTAGCCTCATGTGCAGCTGCTCCAGAGCATCCCATTCCATCAGTAAGGCTTTACTGTAGAGATCGTACAAGCTGTGTATGCACAACCAAATGCCTGTGCAAAAAGGTCACCTAAGGTACTTTACGTGATGCCATTGAATAACCTCGTTGAAGAACCATGTTTGTAAAAAAGATGTATTCATGTGAAGAACCTTGAAAGGGTTAAAGACAGAATATAGAAGTTCTCTGCAAATGTGGAGGTTCTTTAAGCTTTAAAAAAGGTTGTTAAGTCCAAAGAATTATCCGTTGAAAGGTAATTTAGGGAACCAGAAATGACTCTTATATGGCAATGAGCAAAAAAGCCTTTTTGGCACCTTTGTCTTTAGGAGTGTGGGTGCAGAACATTCCACCTTCTATTGAGTTTGGTGGATTAAATGGTGTGCAAAAATGCTTCGTGACAGTTCTCATTTGGGAGTGATTTAGCTATGGGTGCAGTGCAACGACATCACCTTCATCTTGCTAACTTGTCTTTATGGGAAAGAATCGAGTAGAGTGCCTGGTCCTTTTCCATAACACCAGTGGAGACCACTTTGGTCACTTCAACTGATATTTGACTGCTGTAAAGTTGTGCAATGAGGCACTTAAATATACCTAAGTGTATTAAACTATTAACATAAATATACTTAACTGAATCATGTTTTAGTCTTGGTATTATGTTTATTTCTATCATAAAACCTTTACACAGTGCTTTCATATCTGATAATATGCAAACTTGATAAATGATGTCCTTTGTGTCTCCATAACTACATAATCCATTTGCTATTTTCTGTGCTTTCCAGCATGAACCCGGTCACCTGTCTGCACAGACTGCTGCTACACCTCTCAGCAACTTTACTGACTCATGAGAGTTTACATCTAATTTAGCTTTCAAGGACACAGCACAGGAAGTGCAGGCTTTGGAGCTGCTGTTCCTGCCCTGCACGTTGTTTGACCTGCCTCAAACTCAAACTCATGTGGTGCAGCAGCCAGTAGTTTGCCACAGATTCACAGGCCATTTGCTAACCGGAGCAGATATGGTCACATGACTGCAGCCAATATGGCATTTACAGAAGTCTAAAGGCCACAGCATTGCACAGCCTTTTTTTTAAGAAGCCTTGGGTGGTTGGTATGGGTGGATTAAGGCACGGCTGCCTTTGAAGTGATATGGAGTGTTGTTCCTGCAGACAGTCTATATCAGGCTGATAAAAGTGGAAGATTTGAGAAAAATATTAAATGTTGTGCTGTCCCTGGCTGTCAGGAAGCAAATGGATCATTACAGCCTTCCAAAGAATCAAAAAGAGTCGCTGAATTTTTTATGATACCCCTAAGGTGCTCAGTCCGAACATAACAGTTTGTTCCACATTTCAGCCTGGGCTTCTTTTTGAATGTTGTGCAACACAGGCTGGGCAATCAGAACAGCAACATTTACATATATCAGTCTTATAGGTACAGTAACAAAAATGTTTATTTCTAAGGGATAAAGAGAGGTTGGAATGATCATATAAAAAATAGAGCTGTCAGATTATTGAAGTAATTAGTAATGATTAATCTCATTATTTTCTATTCTAAATTGCAAGTCACAGCATTTTTGTTATTTGCTCAAATTTGACCATAAAGACATATTTTTTTCCATTTAAAAAGCAGTGCATGTTGTTAAAGCTAATGGAGTGGACAAAATAAACTTGCTTTTGTTAGTTGGCTGCTCTTTGATTAATCCATTATGGTCTCCAACAAGCAATCCAGTGTAGTCTGATGAAGGTGCTGAAGGTATCCTAAAAAAAGCCATTTAAAAGATAGACGAATGAGAGGTCTGCAATTGCAGATCCTATCATGGCAACATATAATGTGAGCAGCTGGCCTGCAGTCAGGATTAGAAGGGCCAAACTAAGAAAATGCGTTAACATCATTAAGAAATGATTGCTGTTAATAATTTATTGTGTTATGACGTTAACTTTGACAGGCCTAGTTACAATAAACAAACAACCGTTTTTGATACATAGAACTGTACAAACATTCCAAGTGCACTTGTGGAAAAAAATATGAGAAAAGTGTTGAATATGCCTCCTTTACATCTTGTTATCTGTTGGTAGAAGCTCTTCTTCAATTTATGCTCTAGTATGTCGTTGGTCACTGTGACCCTGCTGTCCTTAGAGTGACAAAGGTCCATTTTCAGACCAGCTGCATCTGCCGTAGTGCCAAGCTGTATCCACACACACACACAAACACACTCACAGAGTAAACATGCCCTTCATCAGTGCTGTGGAGTTACTAAGAACTGCAGAATTCTCTGGAGACATTTTTCAAAGACCTCTGTTTAAACTATGCAACTTGTTTTCTTTATAAAACACAAACAATTCCACGTTTCATTTGGACCAACTCCTAACTAATGTGTTTATACTAATGCTTGCCTGAGCCATGGATGGGAGATGGGATGTTGAGTAAGGCCATTGTTTTAGAGGGGAAATGCTCATTCATTCATTCATTTCTTTTGTGCCTTCTTGTGGTTTCCATATACCAGCAGTCTTTGACTGAGCTGAAATGTGCCTTGGGGAAAAGGAATGTTAGCTTGAGAGCTGTTACGCTGGAATGCCAGTGAGAATACTTGGGCGTCCGCCAATACCACAAGAGTATGTGAAGAGAGAAGTGGGTTAGAGGCGACATCAGTGCTCTTTCATTTCACCCATTAACTGTTTGAGAGACCCTCTATACTAATAGTCTATCACAGTTTAAGTTGGCTGGGAAACACCTCTCTTTAACAGAATTTCAGCGCTTCTGATAAGTGGGAAGTGAGATTAAAGGCCTGTTCGAATTTGATGGCAGCTTTGTAGCTATTTAGCACACTACAGAGCTTCTGGCAGTTTCTGAAAGAGTCTGTCATCGGAGAGTTCCTGAAGATATTTGATTAGAAGAACTAAGGAAGTTCCGTAGAAGAGTGAAAAAGAGATTATGTGTATGAAATATAAGCAAAGATGTAGGATCACGTCTTGGCTTTTGGTATCCTACTCAGGGTGATTATATGGCCTGGAAGGAGCTGATCCAGGGTCAGTAATCATACACTGAGATACTTTGTGCATTCATTAAGCTGGGCCCTTTTCACTGCAACTGGAGACTTGCTTATCTATGTAATGAATATGTTCAATCCTAATCAGACTGAAATAAAGAATACAGACTGGATACAGATACTGGATAGAGATTTCACACTACAATTCAAAACTAAGGGATCACTTATTTTTGTTGCTTCACATATAAAAATAACTTTTACAGTGTAGCTTTAAATCTCATACACTAGACACCAAAAAGCATTTTTAGGTGTTTTATTTAGCATTGCAAATATTTTTGGAACAGCAAGAAGCAGTTCAATAAATAATATACTCTAATAATCTATTTACATTACATAATCTAAACCGCTTGTCCTTCCGGGTTGCCAATCCATCGCAGGGCAGACAGACAGACATACACACTCACACCTAGGGGCAATTCAGCATATCCCATTGGCCTGACTGCATGTCTTTGAACTGTGGGAGGAAACCCACGCAGACAACATGCAAACTCCACACAGAAACAACCCTGGTCGCCCGGCCGGGATTCGAACCCAGGCCATTCTCGCTGTGAGGCAACAGCGCTACCCACTGCGCCACCGTGCTGCCCCACAGCACAATTAGTTCCATTTAACTGGATATAGTGCAACACAGTATGCAAACATATTGGATAAACATCATTGTATTCACAGTTTTTGATAGATGTAGCACTACTCATCCTTTTTCCTCTATTCCAACTGATCAGATGTCTGAAAAATAAATACATCAAGAAAAATTCTTAAAGTATCCTGATATTTCAGCTGTACCTACCTTATTGCTAGCTATTTGAAATAGAGATGCAGGATGATAATGGAATCATATCGGTATCAGATGATTATTGCTTTAAAAAGTTATGAACATATGTTTAGATTTGACTGATATTTCAAACATGATACTTAAAGATGTACTGCATTTATTGTCCGATATCAGCATCGGCCCACAATTCCCATATCAGTGCATCCCTAATTTGAAACCAGAGAAGTTGCACAGGACTAGAACAGTATTGTTCTTTTTTTTGCATTTATCTGTATCTGAATTGGTTGAATTGCAGCCCTAATATTGGCCTACTTACATGCTTTCTCATGCTTTCTCTGTTTGTTTGTGTTCCTCTGTAGGTGAAAGTTATGTGTGTGCTTCTAATGAGCCCTTCCGTAAAGTGGACTACACTAAGAATGTGAACCCAAACTGGTCAGTGAACGTGAAGGCGGGCACCTCGCGCTCTCTCTCATCTCTGCCCACACTGAAGAACGAGCTGCGAGAGAGGGAGAACAAAGACTTCATCAAGCCCAAGCTGGTGACGGTCATTCGCAGTGGGGTCAAACCACGCAAGGCCGTTCGAGTCCTCCTGAACAAGAAGACAGCACATTCCTTCGAGCAAGTGCTGACCGACATCACAGACGCCATCAAGCTGGACTCCGGTGTGGTCAAGAGACTGTACACTCTAGAGGGAAAGCAGGTATGAGGATTATTTACCTGTGCAGTGATTAGCGGAAAAAAACTGAAGAAAACAAACAGTAGGAAAAATAGCTGAATAGGTGGCTCTTAATGGCCTATTTCTATCATATTGTATTGACCTTTATTTTGTTATATATTTGATTATTTATTTTCTCCTATCATTTTTAGTTGCATGTCAGTTACACTACAGTTTTTTTGTCTCTATGTTTTATTTAGAATGTTTATTTTCCTGAGTAAAGCAGAAAAAAATGCACTATATAAATAAAGATTTATTATTATTTTTATTTGTGAAAGCTTTTTAAAGAATATAGGCTGCATTTGCCTAGGCATTTATGATTGTCCAGACTTTTATGAAGGCTATTGGTTGCATTTGTTCATGCTTTCATGAGGACTTTACGTTGCATTGTCCAGTCTTTTATAAACACTGAAGGTTTCACTTGTCCTGGCTTTTATAAACATTGTAGGTTGCATTCATCCAGGCTTATATAAAGACTGTATGTTGCATTTATTCAGGGTTTTATAAACATTGTAGGTTGCATTTGTCCTAGACATTTGTCCAGGTGTTTAAAAACACTGCAGGTTGCATTCATCCAGGCTTTTATAAAGACTCTAGGTTACATTTGTTCAGGCTTTTATAAAGACTGTAGGTTGCATTTGTCCAGTCTTTTAAAACCACTGCAGTTTGCATTCGTCCAGGCTTTTATAGAGACTGTATGTTGCATTTGTCCAAGCCTTTAAAAAGACTAGAGATTGCATTTGTCCAGGTGTTAATGAAGACTAGATGTTGCGTTTGTCCAGGTGTTTATGAAGACTGTATCTAGCATTTGTCCAGGCTTTGATAAACATTATAGGTTGCATTTGTCCAGGCTGTTTATAAAGACTGTAGGTTCTATTTGCCCATGTTTTTATAGAGATCGTGTGTTGCATTTTCCCAGGCTTTTACAAAGACAATAGGCTGCATGCTTAGACTTTTACTATACAGAAAGGCAAACGTGCTGTTGAGTATAGTAATGCCATTAGGCATTAGAGTTTAAACATGAACAGAACTGACAGAGTTGCCATTCCTGGATTCATACTGTTTAAAACCTGTGCTGTCAATATGACAATTGAAAGGATGTCTTAGTCTACAAATAGACATAAAGTGCCAAAAAGCAGGTGATGTGCTTCTCCTCTCTTCTAATACATTAACATTTGATAATAAATATGTTGCCTTAGTGCTGCATGTATTCAAAAAGCTATAGTTTTGTATATGGAATAACATTTTTGATAAGCAGCAGTGCCCTCATGTGCACTACCTAAAGAGATTTTTTTTTCTGGATAACCAGGAAATGCCTATAAGAGACTGCTTCCATGACATTACCCACAAGGGAGCCTTGAATCATGAGGTTATGGAAGTATTTACATATAGATAGTTCAGCCATATGCATCAGTGGCTGTTAATGGCCACCTGCACCCTTTTTTGCCCTTAACCAGCTGGGCTCAGATGGGCTGTCTGCAGAGGGGGCATTTGTAAATAGAATTATTTCTAGTCATGCATGAAAACAGTCATAGTTCACAGATTGATAGGCATGTTCTCTTAAATACTATTTACAAGGGTCATGTGGTGTTTAAAGAAGGTTAGACCATGCTATTGAGTCTTCTAGTACATGCTCTGTTATCACAGAAACAAATCCTTAACATTTCATTGCATGCTAACATTTCAGAGTGTGTTTACAGCTTGTAAATATTTTAGTAACTCTGTTCAGTGGTGTCATTACAAAGCAGAAAAGAGGGAAAATAAGGCCAGTACTGTGGATCCTCTGGCCCAGTGTGCAGGGTGGAGGGCTTGCAGTGAAAGGGGAGTATACACAGATGGGCTCGAAATGACTCACAAAATAAGCCCCTAGAAAACTGAGCCATGGATGCTTTTCTGACTCAGTCTTCTTTATCACTTTATCCTTCAGTACTTCTTCTTTCCTCCTTTTGTTTGTTACTGTGCTTTTTCTATACTCCTCTATACTACAACCTTTTTAATTAATTAACGTATGACTTACATTTAATGATATTTTAGCATAAATATAAGAAACCAATGCACTCTGTACACTATGCAAAACGAATGAATATAATATTTATACAATTACATATAGAGTATGATGCAAATACTGTCCCATATAGAATTTAATGTGAAAGAATGTAATGATATTAAGAAAAACATCAGTGTAGCTGATCTACCAGATCTCATTTTCAAAGTAGCTAAAAGGATTGGTCTGAAGCCAAGAGTGTTTTTTTTTCTGCTGAGTCAGTTGGCTCTTATTCATATGTGTCAGTACTGTAGTATTGAGGTACATATACTACAGGCATTTGGTGAAGCCTGTATCAACTGATTGAACATCCCTGGTCAAATGACATGTTTTGCTGATTTTGAAAGTAAGAAATAAGTTAACACATTCTCTACACAATTTAAATGTGCAAATTGTAGTGCACATTTTTTATTTATTTGCAGAGTGTAGCATGTTGGTTACAGGTGTGTTCTCTGTAGAAAATGTGTGCTTATTTTCACAAGCAACGACATTTGATCAGGGCTCCCCTAGTTTTGCATATTACTGTATATAATGGAGTTTAATTTATGGATGCACATTGTTTTTGAAATGTGATTTTTGCCTTCCTCAATTCATTGAACATAATAGTCTACAATATTGGTGAGTTTAGCCAGAGTTAGCTGGTTGGCCTTAGATATATCCTTTAAACTGTCTCTTGTGGTAAATCCTATTTGGCACATTTACTTATTTATTTTCAGGGTTTTATTTTAAGATAGCCTTTTAAAAATGCAGTCAATTATGTGCCTAAGGCAGTAGTATCCAACTGCAGCCAGTTAGAGTTAGCCTCAGGCTGGCCAAGCCTCAGATTGGGCAAAAGTCCCAGCTCAGGTGAATGTTAGCCAGCTTGCTATTTAGCTAAAGTGTTAGTGAGGTAGGGCACATTAATGTTAGGTGACAAAAACAGATAAGGTTGGGGCTCTGGTAAGTTAGTTCTCTAACCAGGTTAGCTTGTGTAAATATCTCCTTCAAAATAAAGGTGTCAAGGTTTGAGTTATGGTGTGTTATTCACTAAACCACATTAGCTAATGTAAAATGTTAGCTAGCTAACACACACAGAAAGGATGATTCTAACTAGCATGTCATCTCTGAAACAATTTAGTGGCACAAACTTTTACCTACTGTTAATATGAGTTATCTCACCAACACTTAGCTAGCTAGTTCAGCTACTGTAGAAACCTCATGGGCTTTTATTGCCCATGCTGAGGCTTTGTCCAGTTTATGGGATGCAATTAGATGTTTCTCACCTAAGGACCTTATTTTGATACAAAGATTTATCCAAGTGAATATCAGTGTACAAAAAAAGTTTTTTTTCCTGATGATTTAAAATTAGTGCAATAAAACTATTGTGCCGTGCCTAAATTCTGATAAACGAACATTAACAGCAGCATGATTGTGACTATCAATTTAGCCATTGTCCTACATGAGAAACAGTAAAGAGTTTGGGAAGAGAGGAACAACATAGGAACAATAAAACTTGTTCCCTTTTCTTTGTTCAGAAATGCAGTGCAGGGGATGTCCTTGTTAAGATGGAACAAGCTTTCTCTCCTTGATTATGTGAGGTAGGAACCAGCCTGTTGGGCTGAGCGCTGCAGGGTGTCTGTCTGCGGTACAGACTCTCTCTCTCTCTGTGGAATAGCATGGGGAACTCTTCCGCACATTCAAACACTGTGCCGACTCGATCTGCTGGAATTATGCAAAATCACCCGAAAGAACTGCCAGGCAAAACCGCATACAAAATGATTATGGTAATATCATGAGCGGGTTGGCACGAGTCAAGTGTTCGTGCTCCAGGCAGTGTTTTGATCTCCATCTCTCTCTTTCTCTTTGGATTGTTATTTGGCTGTGTGATACTGAAGGTGGAAAGAGAAATTTCTTGAAGGTAAATTGTTTAGTCTGAGTCTTACTGGATTTTCTATTATTCATAAACAGTATGTTTTTGAATGTGCCAAAAAGTGGACCCAAATTAACTAATATGCCACAAAACCGTAGGGACTTTCATTAATGCAACAAAGACAGTTCTGTCTTCTTTTTTTTTTTTTGCTATTAATCTTTTTCAGGGCAATATATATATTTTAAACATGGTTGAGGGAAATGGAAAATATTAAGCACTGCCTCAAGATGTTCTCTTTAAATGCTGTCACAGTTCAACAAAAAGTAGCTTAGAAGATCATTGCTGTGGAACATCATAGGCCATTATAGGCATTTTCATTGTGATGAATATGGAGCCTACAAAGTAATTATGGAGGGGAAACTATGATGACTTTGCAAGTCTCACAGGCAGAAGTCACATAGCAGGAAAGCCCCCTGGCACTTCCACAAGCAGCAAATGGATAACAGCCCATAAGCATAAAAAATGCATGCCAAGCAATAGCGCTGCTCTCAAACTGTGAGCCATTAGACCGTTAGAAGAAGAGCCTTGCTCAGTGTGAGAGGGGGAAATTCATGGAATCTGTTTTTTGTTCAGCGAATTGAGTTATAGTTCACTTTAAGCCATGTCATGTTCCCACTTCATAAGTGTAAATGCATTTCATAACTATGATAGGACAAATCCATTTTCTAATGGGCATGAGTGTTAAATCATCTATTGAGATTCTAGAGGGAGATAACACTTCAGGGATCAGGATGCTATTACATCAGAATCATTGTGATACCCAGCAGCACTCCAAAGGCCTATTTAAGGGTTAGTTACAATGGTTATTGAACATGCATTTATGCTTAATGATCTCAACAGCAGGTATTGCTTGAGTGTATAGCTGTAGAGCATATTACTCCACAAAATAAGTATTTTGGCTAAAAAAAAACTCTTACTTGTTCTTGATTAAAATCACTCAAGCCAAAAAAAAAATTACGTCCTTTAGTAATTGATCCACACATCTTTGCTGTCATAATAAAACCTGGTATTTTAACTTTGGTAATACTTTAG